AATAATTGATTTTACTTAAATAGTGGCGATACCATAAACGGACTTGTCCATTGATCTTGGCAAATACTCGTATTTAAATACTTTGTTCTCTGCTAAATTCCGTTGTTGGTATGTTGGTTTCAAGTAGGACACTTCAGGACAGCTTAAATATATTGCCGTCGAAGACTATCGATTCAGAGGAATTTAGGATTGAGAGAGCGATTGATTTGAAAGCAAGGAGAGCGGGACAATTGGGAGACGTGAGAAATTAAATTTAGTTCAAGATTTGCTCGCTGGCGGAGCAATTGAGGAGGAAGTACTTCGAAGTGTAGATGATTATGAACATGCTTCTCACAGATTTGTAGATGCTCATGAAAAGTATTTGCGATTTAAGGATGACGAAGGAATGGAAGCTGTGGCAAAAGAAAGAGAAAGAGATTGAGCGCAAATTTCTTCTTGATGTTGATATCAGCGATTGGAAATTTAACATGAAGTATGAGAAGAAAGCAAACGCGAAATCGAGCCGCCATTCGCGTCGGTCAGACGGGAGAGGATTCCTGTTCCACTCGTAGTAGCGTAAAGGAAAAGAGAAGAATTGTCGTAGAAGCGAGATTGAAGATGGAGGCTTTAGAAGAAAAGCAGAGTTTAGAACGTCGCTTAGAAGAAGAGGAAGTTGAGTTTAAAAGAAGAGAACTTGAACTTGAGGAGGAAAGAAAGCGAAGCAAGGCTGAGTTAGCGAGGAAACTGGAAAAGATGACAGCAGAAATAGAATTAAAGAAGGCTGCGGTCGAGTTTAAAATGGAACAAGAAGAATTACAAAGCTAATACTCAGATGACAGAAGTGGAGTAGACGAGGCAAGTCCAGCCCTGGCCCCGAAGGCGAGTCCTGATGTAACACGCCTCCCAATAAGCTCATCATCTAAAACATTGCCGGGTGTGCTTCCCGTACTTCATGTTCAAACAGTAGCAACGCTCAAGGAGGCGACAGTCAAACAGGAGGTGTCGTCAGCATCAATTCCTTCCCTGAGTGATGTGTCATCCTTTTACGCACCTCTACCTAATCTGTTAGCATTGCAGCATCCCTCGTGTACACCCACCGAAAGAGACAACATGCCCCCCATTTGCCAAAAGGAAAGAGAGTTCATCCCCTCTAGAACAGCATGTAAGTGAGCAGCGAACACCCTAGAGGAGTACATCATCCGAAGCTCAGGTAGCTCCTCAACCAGTTCACACCCCTGTCGAGCAAGCTTTGTTACAGACCGCCCAACAACTTGCACAACAGTCGGCACAACAAGTGCGTCATCCGTAACCTCAAGCAGACATGGCTCCTTAGTTAACGATAGCAGAAGCACTTAAGCAAGGTCCCTCGCTGCCAAAGATAGAACCGATGAAGTTTTGAGGAGATCCCACGGAATATGCTGAATTTACTGTCAACTTTCGTGACCACATCGAGAGCCAAGTGACCGATGATTCTCAGAGATTGACCCGTATGCTAACACATTGTGTTGGAAAGGCAAGGATACAATCAAGAGTTGTGTTAATCTTCCCATGGGCCAGAGATATGAAGAAGCTTGGAAACCCTAATGAAGAATTTTGGTCAACCCCATATGGTGGCCGAAGTACACCTGAGAAAACTGGAGAGTTTAAAGTAATCTAATGGACTTCAACGGACGACTTGAAGATGTGAAGAAAGTGTTAACTACTATGGGGCCCCGTTATGCAGCTCGTCTCGATAAAGAAAATATGATCCTGACACTGGTGAGGAAACTGCCCAATGAAAGCCTGAAACGAAAATGGACAGATATTGCTAGTGATATTATCCAATCCAAGGGCCAGGTTAACTTTGCCGACTTCTTGAGCTTTATCCAGAAGAGGGCTGATTGCTTGAACAATCGTTTTGGGCAAGAACTGAAGCCATCACCAGCGCAAAATGACAGAGAAATAAGATCAGTTAGTAGGGACAGACAAGAGCCACCCCGAAGAGCTACTACCCTTCATGTCGCTGCCGACAATAACGCACCCAGAAGGCCTGGCGGTGCGAAATCAGCTACCTTAAAGTGTTATCATTGTTCTGGTTCACACGCGGTTTGGCAGTGTGAGAGTTTTATAAGTGCACCTTATGAAGAACGATTACGAACTGTACAGTTTAAGAGATTGTGTGGAAGTTGCCTGGGACAAGGACATTTTAAAAGAGATTGTATGAAGAAATTTACCTGTCGAAAGCCGGGGTGTGGGAAGAGGCACCACTTCCTCATCCACCCTCCTGACAAGTGGAATACCACAGACCCTGCAGTGAAGGCGAGCAGTGTCGAGCAAGGACCAGCTATTATAAACCAGAGCTCTGTTGGTAGAACAGCCGCTGCACCCATCGAACCGAATCCTTCTTTGGTTGCCCAGCCAGTTACCGTGTCGTGTACCTTCAGAGAATCTACTCCCGTTGAAACATCCAGAAACAGTCGGCCAAGGGTTTGCTTGAAGGTAGTTTCAGTGAAAGTTAGCGGTCTGGGTAGTGATAAGCAGATTACAACGTACGCATTCCAAAACAATGGCTCAGACGCCACACTCTGCCTAAGAGGACTGCTGGAAGAATCGGGCCTTGAAAGTGAGTCCACAGATTTCAGGCTTACCACAGTGAATCATGAAGGGAAAGAATACGGTCGTCGAGCCAGCTTGAAGATAGAAGCCCTAGATGGAAAGACAAAGTTCGAAGAGAAGCACTTTACCAACAACAGAGAATTGAGAAAGTGGCCTCACCTTGACGGTATCTATCTCCCACAAGTAGACGAACACAAAGTCTCTATCCTTGTCGGAGGCAACCGACCAGATATTACAGTCTTATGCTGTGAATACACCCTTGGGATAGACAGCGTATGGTCCCATGGGCGAATCAAGTGGTGATGGCGTGTCTATCAATTTCGTTGAGAGTGATCATGAAGAAATGCTAAGCACGCAGTTGGATCGTTTGTACAACACTGAGTTCAGAGATTCCCTTGTAGATATGGAACAAAGCTGGTCTGGCCAAAATCATTTTTGGCTTGTGGCGACGCAAAAGAAGAGAATTGTAATACAACTAAACTATTTTTGAGACATGTGTCCTAAACCCTTTTCATGGGCAAAAAATAAAAGAAAACTTTTTCCGGCGGGAAGTCGAGAGGACCGCTTTTAGCGAGAGAGGCACTAAAGTTGATTTACTTGAAAGCGTGGCATATACAAGCATTCAAAATCAGTAGGACTACTGATGAACGTTTTTTGCGAAATCTGTTGAATTTCTATTTTTAATGTGTCTCTAACCTTGAAAAAGACTCACTAGAAACTGACTAGCGTATTGATTTATTTCCAACAAGCGACTAGGGATTTGGAAGTGTGGCATCGATCATGACAGCTCTACTTCTTAAAATTACGCCATTACATCTGTGTGTAGTACAAACCATCGTCCCAGGAAACATAACCGCTTCGCTTTCATTTTCAATTGCACAGCACATTGAACGTATCCGTCTATCCAATTTAGGTTCAGGTTTGTTTTCTGCTTTCTGTAAAGCTCGCGGCTAATCAAATCTTAAATTGATTTAAACAGTGGACAATGTCCGTGTTTACAACATAGCCTCATCTAAACACGAGGGGGGCTGGCTGAGTTCCTGAAAGTTGGCAAACCCAACAAACAGTCAAAGGATTTTCATAAGTCTGGGACCAAAGTGGTATTCCTAATTTTGATCACAAATATCATTCATACAATAAGCTTTCGTGACTTCATTTATTTACTGCACAAAATTTATCTCAACGTTTTCGCGAAACGTTTACAAGTGACCTTAAAATAAGTCATTCAGAATGAAGTCGACTTGACCTAATTTTAATTGATGCCGTTAGGAAGTTATTTTTAGACCTAAAATTGACAGCAAGGACATATTTAGTTCACCGGTTCAAACTTCAGTTCTAACAACAAAATTCTGCTTTTTATATCCACAAAAAGACTCATCAAATCAATCAAGTTGCCTGATAAATCGTAGATAACTTTATCAAACCACCCAAGAATATTACAGAGTATTGTAAGAGGATCCGGTAAATTATTTCATACAAAAAATCGTTTCATGACACAAAAAAAACTTCCCGAAACAAAATTATCGGTCTCTCAGGGAAAAGGCTTTAGGAAAAGTCGGCTGGTCTGATTTTCATTTCAGATGTTTTGGGTTTGGTTTTAGCAGCTTTAGCAGTTAATTTTGTCCAGAAATTTTTGTAAGAACTTCCACGACGATGATAGATGCTGTTAAGATTTGAATAAGCAGTACAAACTCCATCAATGTACAGGTACCACCATCCTCCCCAATATTTCCGTGCACAACCATGATTAGCTGGATGTCTATCCCATGTACTAAATGACGTGCCATTATGAATGGAGAGGGAATCGTGAACAGTTGCAGCTGTACAAAAAGAGGAAGGAGTAAAAAATAAACTTAAATATATTTTAGCTTCACAGTTGACAATTATCCGTTATTGTGTATAAAACTATGACATACTGTTACTTATGAGGGCGATGTTTCTGAAAAACGCTTTTGAATTCTAGAGCATCAAAGTTACAGAATCAAATCTGGCACCTAGTTTTGTATACATCCTAGACCTTCGTGTCACTTGATGGATTTCTGCCACCAAGTCACAGGGAACTTGTCAGTAAATGGGTTATTTACGGTTGGACTCATGAGTGTGATATGCATAACCATATACAAATGCACGAATAACAACGATATTTCCAAGGCATACAGTCGTTTGAGAGACACGTGTAAGAAGAGCTGTAAGATTTACCATATTTAAGGGTGATGATGACGACGATCATCTATAACAATGATCGTGTATTAAGGAAGAATATATTGGCTTACATGAAATATTGCCGATGCGTAGCTTGTAATCAGTTGTCTCATTCTCAATACCAAACCATTTGTACTCAACGTAAACAGTTTTGCGGGCATTTACTCCCAGATCCACGCGAAGTTTGTTTTCTGTCTTGTTCTGCGTCAGGCGTTGGATCTTGTTCAGTCCCAGCCAAAATTCCCGAATGAGGAAGCCACCAAATCCCTTTTTGTAGTCTTCCCAGGTGCGGTTGAATTTTTATACAGGACAGTGCCATCCACTGTTGTCCTTGGGGTCCTGTTTAAATAAATAAATAAAATAAAATTTAACAAGATATGTCCATCCTAGAAAACATACAATAAAATGAAAAAATTAAAAATTTAAAAATACTCTGAAAAAGACCTATAACCACGTTTAGATAGAATTTAACTAAAATAATCTCGCAATTTGTTCTTAAATTTCAGTCTCGAATCTAAACCATCAGGCAGGTTGTTGAAAGTCTTTGGGTAATAGAAGCTCTTTTTACCAAATTCTTGTTGTATGCCAAACTGTCCATCCTCCCACATTGCACCTGAACCATCAGGGTCGATTGTATAAACACCACTGATGGTTTGGCCGCATTTGTAAAGCTCAGCACAGTTCTTAGCTGAATAAGAGAAAATAATTTATATAACACAAAAGAAATGTTTCACTAAGATGTACATGCATTCAACCTTCCACCACGAGGAAAAAGAGAAGAAGGAAAGGAAAACAAGTAATTAAAGCAAAGACATCGAAAGGAAAAATTGATCAGCTCAACTCATGGTTCAACTTGGGATTTTAGAGAAAAGGAAGTGATACCTGTTCAGTAACAATTTTGTGAGATTTAGATACGCCCAGGGAACGAGTATCCGTCTCGTTTTCTGCACAGAGAAAAAATCATTAAAAATCAACCCTGTCTCGCTACCACTTTGTCGATAAGCGTCTACTTCGAGAGAATGAGCTTTAGAATTTAAAATTTAACAATTACAAGAATACACCAACGAATGGAATCTTACTCACATATTACCGATTCCCTAGTGTTGGTTATGCACCCTATCTGGGCTGTACGCGTTTCAGATAACATTTGAGACGCGACTACTAAAGCCACGCCGAGCACCAAAGTTGAACTTAATGATACAGACATGATACGATGATATCTTGAAATACTACAAAGTTAAAAAACTGAAGAAACTTTTATTGGAAGCATAACGGAATTCAGAACATTCCAGAATGTTGTGGGTTGAAATTCCTGCGATATTGTTTCATCTGTCAAAGTTTCAGATTTTTTCATCTGTCAAAGTTTCAGATTGTTTCAGCCGGGCAGTTTGCTTACCACAAGTACGATACAAGTGGGAAAACTTGAAGATTGCAGAAGTAGTATTTGCGATTTCAACTCAACTTCCGATTGATTTATTCTCGTTACCTCAATGAATATAAGTTGAGAATGAAAATATCATCATCTACTACAGGTCTAGCGGCCAGATCTTCAACCACTAAGACAGTGGCCGAAGAGCTGGAGTGAGGAGCCACGTGACGAGTCAAAGCAGAGTTCTTAATTTGTTTATTTACCGACACCCATTAACTTGTGGCCATAAAGTGTCTACAATCTGTAAATTGAAATATCTCTCAACTAACTGAAACATCAACACTGCAAAACAATTTTTGAGTGGGGGGGGCTATTTTTGGACCCGCCAAAGACCTCCCAGCCGCTCACTCTGCGCGGTCTCTGGTACAGTGACGCACTTTTTGCAGTGTTTATATAGGTAGTGGCATAACTTTTGGTGGTATATGGCAATAATAACGCGAGTAATATTTCAAAATTATCAGAAAAAACCACGATCTGCGAAGCGCTGCTTTGAATTTAAAATAAATTCTTCTACCTCAAAAAAAAAAATGAGTTACAACCTTTACAAGCCAGTACAAACCATTGAAGGCAAACAACATGAAACAATTGAAAGAAATGAAAGAAATTGTCAAATTACGGTTTTTGCGGTCACTGCAGCGGTGAAGCCTAACCATAAATTAAGATTAGCGGTGCTTAAGATCCTAGTGTTTAATTGCTGCTTTGTTGAAAAACACAAACGTCAGCTCCGTAATTTATCGCCACCTGACAGCCAATGAAAAAACAATTTTGAAAGAGATTGTATTCCTATATTTTACCTTTTTGTGTTTAGATAGGTAATGGCGCGCTGCGCCGCTTTGAATTTTGGATATTTTTTAAATATTGCGAGCTGGTATTTCTGCAAAATACCACGTACAGGAAAAGCTATCATCTGTTTATACTTTCTTCTCGTATTATTTTTCTGCTTTGGACACTGAGCACAGAAAATGAACAAACACGACGTGCACATGAATTAAAATTCATTCAGAGCTTTCCGCATTACTCGCGTTCATATCGGCAAGTAAGACGACCACAGATACCGAAATTTAATGCAAAACTTCAAAACAGCGAAAAGTTGATTGAGGGTAAAACTGAATAAAACTATCATTTTTCCCACACCGTTAATCAGAATTGTAAATATTTACAATTGTGTATCTTGTAAATATTGATTTACCACTGACAAAACAACACCCAAACAACTGCATTGAAATAGGTAAAAAAATTTGTTCAAGTTTACAGCTGTTCGCATATCGAGATATACACTTTGGAATTTTGGGAATGCTGGAGTTGCCCTCCAGACTTGATGAATGAACGCTGACGAATGAAAAATTTGATTGACAAAGGGTGTTATTTTGTATTGTTTTAATGACTACCTGAAGGAAGCATTTATCATTTTGCGGTGTTGTATTACATCAGTCATTCTAAATTTCTCCTTGACTATTTTGAAGCTTTCGAATAAGCTCATTTAGTGAAACGGGAAATACCTTAATTAAGAATATTTCTTTTATTCAAGCGTTGTCTTTATAACGCCATTATTGATAGAAATAGACGATACTGCTCAATTTGACACTGCATTTGGAGTTTAGTAAGAACATATTAACTTAAATATAGGTTTTACATTAAAAAAAAAAAAACCGAAGTTTACTTATAGTACTACATCCTCAACAATGCAAAAGGTGCGTCTCTATACAAAGGCAATTGCACTCTAGCAACGCCAATATCGCAAAATATCGGCCGTGTTAGGATAAAATACATAAACAATATTACTTCAAAGAGCCGAGAGATTTTTTGCAAAATTGATATGTCAGTTAGGAAAAAGATTGTAGACGCTTGATGGGTTTAATTTTGTGTACTCGTTGACTAACTGTGTATGTTATGACTCCAGCTCTTCGACCATTGTCTGAATAATGCGAGGCAGAAATAGGGTGTTGATTTTCTTTGTGTTCTACTAAGTTAACTAACCCTTTTGAAAGAAATTTTTACGACACCCATGGAGCGCTTCGGCATTTTAGTGCTTTTATCATCCACGAAAAGTTGTTCTCATCATCTTTTACTGTAGCTGCTATCATTCTCAGTATCATTGTTGTTAGTGGCGAAAAAAAATGAGTTTGATGGTTAATTGTTCAAATTAACGAACCAAGTCCGGGTCTTAATAACTGGCCCGTATACAGCTCCCTACCCCCAACCCCTACCCTTTTTGATAAAAGCTTTGTTATGCGATTTCTTTTGTTAAGGGTAACGAGCGGCTGAACACCGACCAGATCCTACAGGAAAACCAGTGATATGTAGTCCTGATCTTTATCCTAAACTTGTTGCGAGAACAACAACGTTAACATCGCTAGTCGAAATATTCTGCGTCCAGACTATCCCGCGCGACTTCGATTTCTTAAATGATGTTCTTAACGTGTTGTTCAACTACCCTTATATTTCCATTGTGATGTAATGACCTTGGTTGACAACGTTTTCGTTTTATTTATCAAGTAACATTCAAGACGTGCTGCAATTCATTAACACGAGTTTAGATCTGTTAAAAAGGCAAAGGATCTTCTTCTTGGTCAACCGTGTGGTGTTGGCTGACGCTCGTCGCAAAACCTCTCGCAAAGAGTGGTCTAATCGGCTTTTTCTCACGAGAGCCTGCAATATCCAAAAGTGATTCAAAGGTAAATAAACAAATAGTAATCCCTAGATTCTCGGTTTCCTCATCGTTACAGTATCATTTGTGTGCACTAAACTGCTTGTCGTAAAGTTGTTTGCCACTGTTCAGTTTATGGATGTGGCCTTGGAATGAAATAGGAGCTTGGAATACGAATTGATATTATAAAATTTTCGTGTAGTATCATGTTAGGAGCCCGACTGGGTGCGTTGATAACTTGACTTGTTTGATCAAGCGGCAAACTCAGTTTTCTTGCCGTAAATGATACTGAAAATGAAAGTGAAAGTAACGTCTTTAAGATTGAAGATGAAAACGTTTCGTCGACAATAAAAGTACTAAGATACTCAAAAACCCCAATTACGTGGTATCAATAGATTTTTCTTGAAATTTCTTTTGAAGACCTAATGAATTTCATTAATGATAATTTTTGGGCCATTATTCAATCTATGTTTGTGGCTCTGGAATAAATCTAGCCACTAAACCTTACGCAAACCCTGGTATAGGTGCCTAAAATACGAGTTGACTCTTCCTTATCGCTTCAAAGAACAAAGGTTCTTGATGAAAAAGATGATAATCTACCACAAATTATGATATTGTAAAACTTTGGCAGAACATCACGTTTGGATCCCGACTTGGTTAATTAATGACTTCATTTGGGTTATCAGCTGTCAAAATCAGTTGTGTTTGCTGTTAATAACAATGATATTGAAAATGAAAGTACCGACAGTGGGGATAATGATGAAACCTTTTCGTCAAAAATAAAAGCACTTAGACACTGAAAAACCCAGACGTGTGTTATCAAGAGGTTTTTCGTGAAATTTCTTACAAACAGCTAATTAATACAGAAAATCAATAGAATTTATACCTTGTTTCCACTTTGTATTACTAAGATGATAGCCGAAGAGCTAGAGTTACGAGTCGTGATTAGGCAGCCCAAACGCGGCCGATATTTTTCCGGTGTTGACAACGCAAAATTGCAATAAGATTTGGAAAGCGACCCATATTTTATGATGTCTGAAGATGTGATATCGGAAACAACCTTTCTTTAACATTTTCACACGTAAATCCAAATTTAAGATAATTTTTCTTGTTTAACTCTCAATATTGGTGTATACAGTATCGAGTGTTTTCATAATTTCCTTTTGTTGTAAAGAAAATGAACTAGGGCTGAAATAACTCTTAAGATCTTAAGAAGATGAGCTTATTCAAAAGTTTCCAAAACGTCAACGACAGATTAAGACTGACAATTACCATTTAAAACACAGAAGAACTATTAACAACCGGTTCATATCATTTAGTCAATTGGCGACGTAAAGTCAAGAAGCCTTTTGCAGCAATCGGTCACGTGATAAATTTCCCCAAAAAGGCTGTGGTGGGCAAGCGAACCAGGCATTCCTTGACAACAACCAGACTAAGACCGATCAAGTGTGACATTGCAAGACTATAGAAACCGTTTTTACCTTTTTTTTCCATTTTAGAAATCTGTTTTTTTTTTTAAATTAGTAGTTTATTGTTTGTCTTTTATACGAGCATATTTTTTTCTGGCAAATCTCTTTAAAACCAAATTTATCGTCCCTGAAGGGACGTGATCGAAGAACGTGACCAGCAATGGCGGCCGCTTTCACCGGGAAGTTGTTGATACTTTTCTTCGTATTTGTTAGATAAATAAATCTTTTCCAATGATCGAGATTCTGATGTTTATTACTTTCTGTCATATTCTTTTGCATTTTGGGGAATAATATTCAGAGTCGTTGCGATTTTATACCGTTTCAAGTGATATTTCTGTGGGACATATTTTATGTATTTCGTCGCGACTTCGTGTGAGACCCACGATTTTTCCCAAGAAAAAGCCGTGGAATTAGAGCATGCAACAATTTCACAATCTGACAGCCACCTTTGCTACTCACTGCGTGCTAAAAAATTAACTGCTAATAAGTTTAGAGATGTTGCCAAACGTTTATCTGGGTTCGAAAATCTTCTAAAGCAATTGAAGCCAGCCAGGAGAGTTATAACTGCAAACATACAACATGGTATTGACATGGGGCCGACTGCAGTCATTGCCTATGCCAATATTGCCAAGCAAGGAAAGGTTAATCTGTTTCCCTCTACCGTAAGATGTATGACATGGAAGCAGAAGAAGAAAGCCTAGCACCCTTTGGTCTTTTGGAAATTAAAGTTGTAAAAGAAGGTTCTGTGGACCTCAGAAATATTCAACATTTATCAACCAATGTTGATAACGAGCTAGAAATCAAGAAATCGCACAAATATTACTACCAAGTGCAATGACCTCTTTTTGATCAAGAATTTTTTTAAATAGCTAAGGACAAGGTTGATCTCTTCTATTTTAATTACTATTTAACCGAAAGATATTTGTTCATGTTTATCTTTTAATCATATGTTAACAACATTTTAGCTCAAACTACATTTATAGAGACTGATAGAGTGATAGCACTGCTCTAGAGACACTGGTATTTATTAACACGTACTCAAATCCACAGAACCCAAAACTCATTTCTATAACCAGTTTATTCAGACTATATGCAACTTGCATACTTTATGCTCATTAACCATCTGATTAATCTGATTGATCATTTACAGCGCTATTTATAAGAGCACCTTGAAAGTTTGTTAGCAAACAAATAACAGCGTAAGTTTGATTTATAGATCCAAGCATGTTTAACGGTATATCGGAATCAAAAATATGATACTCCTTTATTCGTCTGATAGCTCGCTCAACATGAATGCGTAATTTTGGAAAACTCTTAGTATTCCTAGCCTCTGTTACTGAAAACTGGCCCTTACTTTGGAGATATGGAGGGATATTCAACTTGACTTTCTTTTTATGCAATATATCTTCAATGTCAAACCCCTTGTCTGACATTACCGAGTTATTGTCTTCTAAGAGATCTAATAATTCACAGCAGCGAGCGATTTCCTTGTCTGATATGGAACCTGTGTAAAGTGAGGATACAAATGTAACTGTACCATGAGAAGCAATACCAATAAGTCCTTTTAGAATGGTATTCAGTTACTTTTATATGATGAATACAGTTGAGATTGAAGCTAAGTAAAAAATACAAATAATTTGCCTAGGTGGTTATTTTCCTGCCAACAGTTGATGTGATTATAGAAAATCTATCTGCCAAATCCTGTGCAAACAGGCCAAGCCTGGTTCTGACTAAAAATAAAAACAGCTCATCAAAATATGTTGTGCAGAAGGCTCAACAAAATGATAGAAATTGTAAAAATGCTTATAGCCAAGAAATCCAGTATAAAATTTGAAGATAACATTGTCAGAAGAAATGCACTCAAGTCCAAACTTATGTATTTTGAGAGCTGCAATTTGAGCTTTTAGGCTTTCAATCTCCTTCTGGGCTGCTTCATAGGCCACTTCCAGTGAAGCCTTGCTCTCTGCAACAGGTTCAATGTTGACAGGTTCAGGTTCTGCATCGGGGGCATCAACATCAAGCTTGGGCCGTCAGGGATTGCTTCACGTTCGCTATCAGTTTGACTGCCACTAATACAAAAAAATAATTTCATCACAGTTATTATGAATAAATATTACAATAGTTGATATACAAATAGTCTTTTTAGCAGATCCGCGATGAATAAAAGTGGTGGCAAATT